GGTGGGGGGAAGCACGTGTGGGGGCCGCCACCTCCTCCCCGGCCCGGCTCGTCATAGCGAGACCGCACCTCTGGGCCCTTCTGGGTTTTGGTGTTTTGGGTTTTTTCCCTCCAAATGGTGGTATTTTTTTCCTTTTTTTTTCTTTTTCTTTTTTTTCTTTTTCTTTCTTTTTTTTTCAGTTTTACGCCTGTATTTCTTCACAGGAAGTATTTACTTCGGTGGCCCTGCAAGTGTGGGCAGGCCGGAACACGGCACCGGCTCAGGGGGCTGGTGTGGAGGAGGGTGGTTCTTGCTGGCGGCATTGACATTGCCGGCATTGGAGCAGTATACCTCACATGCTCATTCCCAGGAACAGAATGCAAATGCACCGAACTGACGCAAACTGATCTCACCCCCATATACGGAGCATATAGGTTTATATTCTGCTGTGCCTGCTGGTGAGGTGGTGGCTGCCTGTTGCCATGGCTGATATTCAGGAGTGTTGGATGGAATTGAGGAAAGCCCAGAAGTGTTCCAGCACTTGTGTAATGGCAGTCAATTCTCTGTTACCTGTTCAGATTATCTGCGTTGCCTGTTACCTTCATGTTCATGGTATCAAAAGCTTTTTTCCAACAGGGTTTATTATCCTACTCTGGTACTGCCACCTTAGAACCAGAAGTCCAGTGCACGGGCACTGCAGTGGTGGACTTAAAGGCAGCTTGTCTAGTTAGACTTACTGGGTCTGGCCAATGAGCCTACAGCTGTGCCAGTCTGAAGCTACCTTCAGCTGAAGGTGCCTCCTGTGCACCCTCTCCTCATGGACACAGGTTATAGGAGGCTTGCGAGGTCAGTCATAGCATTGTGTGAATGCATGGATCCAGTTCAGTAAACCTTCTTGTTGGAGTGAAAAGGAGCATGTTGTGGAGATGTTCAGGAGATTGTGATGTTTCTGGATCGCTTTTTTCCAAAATGCTGTGTTGCAAGCTGGACACAACACGGGAGGGAAATTGGTTATAAACATTTGCAGAGCACTGTGTCTGACCTTGTAAACCTTCCTGCAGCACTTGGAAAACTGGTACGGAGGTTTATGCATAAACATTCCTTTGGCTTTGAGGAAGCCAGCCTAGACCTAGCACCCCAAGAGCTAAACTGAGACTAGAATGCTGGCTGAATCTAATTCCTTGCAAAGGCACTAGGGGATACATGTTGTTTTTTCCCTTTACCCTCTTCTCTTTCCAAATAATATTCAGTGCATTAGCCACATTTAGCAGAGGGATGAGCATGTAAGAACAGCCTTACAGCATCAGGCCAGAGGGCCAAATAGCCCATTATCCCATTTCCGACAGTTACCATAGATCCAGGGGACTTTTAATAGCAAGTAAACCTACATTGTATTCCTCTCAAGTGTCTTCTGAGCCTCCAGCTGTTTTTAGCTCTGGAAACTTCTCAAGCTGGATGTGGCTTCTGTGTGTTTAGTAGTGCTCTGTGCATCTCGTTGCTAAGTGCAGATTCCTATAAGTTTATGGAAGTAGCCTGCCAGGTGGACAGAAGTGCCCTAACCAAGGGAAAAGTTTGCTTAACCTAATGCCTTAAAATGTTAGGAAACCACCACAGGGAAATTGACAGCTGGGATGTGAACCTTTTGCGTGTTAAAGTCAGCCCGCCATGAAATGCAGATAAGTAGAAAACAAGGGTGACTAATTTTCGGTGCTCTCAGATTTACTTGCTCTTACTTACTATTCAAGCCAGTAATATTAAAACAAAGGTTAGCTTCTTTGGTCTTGGAAAGAAAGCGTTATGTTCAGGGGAGAGATTTTATTTTTTTTTAAGTTATTAACTAGCAGTCTTGCATCCATGCAGCATTTGGAGAGGGATGAGGCTCACGTGTTAGATATACTCAGCTGAATACTCTAACTCAGGCAATTGAGAACTTCTGTAAAAGGCAGTGGAGTTCTCCTGACACTCACCTCAGTCCAGTGTTTCATAGGTAGGCAGAACCATTCAGTATGGTCTGTGCTAAGGCTGAAATATAGATCATGCTGGGGAAACCTCTTTGGAGAGCTAGAGCTCTTAATTTTCAGTAAGAAGGCACAGAACTGCTGAAGCTCTGAAGTGGTGTGTGTGGAGATGAACTTGGATGAGCACAGGCCTCCTGAAGTCCTTACCTTGAAAGAGGAGAGCATGCTGTACTGGGCTGATAATTGGAGGGTATCTTTTATAGAAACATTGATAAATGAATTGGTGAAAGAATAGTAAATAAAAGTAACTTTTAGTAAATGAGGAAAGATCTCAGGGTGGTTTCCTATCTGACAGAGCGGCATTAACTTGGGCCCAGATCTGGAATGGATGTATGTAATTTCCCTTGAAATGTGCTCATGTGGATCTGGTCTGTGGAGATTATCCAGAATAGGAAATATTGCACCAATTTTGATGGTAGCCATTTCAAAACAGTGTAACTTCCTAACGTATGCTAGCAAGGCTTGCATTAATGTAGCATGTCTTCAGCGAGTGGTTGTAACACTACTAATCCAAGCTTCCACTCTGTACATAAGGACAAAGTTATAATCCAAGCGCTAAACCCAAAATCTTTCTAAAGGTAGCTTTAAAGTAAAGGCGGCCTTGAGGGTTGCATGCTGTGTTTGCTAATAAAATAGATTCAGGTTTTAAAATAACCTTGCTTGAGTGATGATTATTTGCCAGCTGTGGATGATGACAGCAGGGCCCCAGTCCTGGAAGTTCTTTTTGAGTGACTAGGATAAGAAACTTGCTCCAAAACATTTTGATCAGGGTCTTGTGTCAAATGGACGAAGGACTCCCTGGGACACTTGGAAAAAGCCCTATATGTATGAAAAGCAACCCCATGGCAGCCTGCGTTCCCTAGATGGGAAAGAGCTCCTCAGCCACCTTTATGGGAAGCAGCTGACATCCCTTGGACCTAAGCCTAATGTCTGACGCCTCTGTACAACTAGTGCTGTGCATGAGGTTAAGCCTGCTTGTAACCGCTACGCGTGTAGCGTCTAATTCTGTTAAGAAATTATGTTAATTTTAATATTTCAATGAATATTAAATCAGTGAATCAAAGAGTTTCATATTGAATCTTAATATTACAGACAAATCTAAGTTAAATTAATAATTAATGCTTAATACTACTAGACATATTGCTACCTACGTAGCATTTTGCGTACTTCTTTTGCTCAGCTCTACTTCCTGCCTTTTTAACCAAGCGTGAACTGTAGACAATTTAACTAACGTGTTTACTGTTTTTTGTCTGAGTGGAGAATGGTCCGGTGGGGATAACCACTTTCAAATTATTTGGTCCCAGGAGGAGGTACTTAATTTAGGCCTAGCACTGGGTCTCAGGCTCTTTGAGTAGCAGACCCTGGAAAACTTTTCTAAAGTGATAGCGACCTTTTTGGAGCAGATTTCAGCTTATTGAAGATGATTACCTTTTTATCATGATTTTTCCTAAAATTATTTGAGAGTGCTTAATAAGCCATAGTTTGAAAATAGCTGTAATAGGTAGGTAGGTTATTGTAGCTGCCTTGTAACAGTATGCCATTAAAATTTTACTTCCCGGAAATGTATTTGATGTAATGAATAATCCAGTTTTTAAAATATTCTGGAGCAACTATTACTGTTGTAAAATTTTATTTTACATGTAGTATTTCCCTTCCATAATGTGTGAGTTTGACTAGGCTGTGGATTTTTGTGCTGTTAAAATTCAGATGATGCTGTACCTCAGGACTAACTGTAAGGAAAGTATTTTCATTATGGTTGCTCAGACTCTTTGATTATACGTTTTAATATCAAAACGCATTTTTTGACTGCTAGAAGCTTTTTCTATCAAACAAGGCCCTAGTAAGGAACAGAACTATTGGTAAATTGAGGCTTTGTTTTTAAAAAAAATGAAATAACAGAAACCCTCAAGAAGCCTATGTCTGAGGATTTGCACATCACACCTCTGTTGCAGAATTAAATACGATGCCCTCATTAAAAATATCTCTCAGACTTAGTGCTAAAAATATGCCAGAGAGATTTATCAGAATTCTCTTATTATTAATCTCATCTCATCTGTGATTTCTTTGAAATCTTTGTTGCTTTAGTACAAGATAGAAGCTTACTGTCAAGTTGCCTTCCAAGTAGTGTGCTTACAGTTGGAACCAAGCTTTGCTCAAGAGAATATAACAAAAACAAAGAAGAAAGCAGGGAACAGGGGGAACCGCATGGAAACATTTTGGTGGAAATGTGGGATTTTTCATTTTCATTCAGACTTCTTCTCTACCGTAGGTGGCTTCAGCCAGGAAGAACTGCTAAAAATATGGAAGGGCCTGTTCTATTGTATGTGGATGCAGGATAAACCTCTGCTGCAGGTATAGTGACTGGTCTTATACTTCCTTGAGTGGGTCTCTTCTAAAATATACTGTAGAGACATACTAATCTAGAATTGTGAAAATGTTCTTACTGAGTTTTGCCCACCTTTTTTTTCCCCTTCCCCTGCTGCTCATACAGGACATGCAGGAAAGGAAACTAACTCAGTGATCCTCATCAAGTGAACAGAAGCCTAAATGGCATCGTGTTTGGAGTCCCCCTCTGAATGGCAAATGTAGCTGTTTACCTTCCAAAACCAGGACTGAAATATATGCCATTATGAACGGCATTGATTTGGTGGAACTAAAACAGTAACAGCAGATTGTCCTTAACTGCAGCTACAACACACGTACATATTTAGCCTAGTTTGATAGTTTCACACTTCCTTTACTTTTGTTAATTTGGTGACGCTTCCTCTACTGCCACTTTTCTCTTCTACTAGTACTTTTGTCAATTACTAACAGTTTGTCTCCCTACTTACAAAAGAGACCTGTTCTGGAGTACTAAATCTTAGTAACCTCACTTAATCAGTTTTCAAGTCACGTTTCTGTTTGCACGAACAAGTTTTATCACATAAATAGCCCAGAGAGCTCCCCTACAATTAAGCTATTTGAAAACGGGTCACCTAAAGTTTTACATCATTTGTTAATTCAAATATGTGGGATTTTTCCCCTCCCAATTTAATTTTGTCTGCTGTCAAAAAGAGTATTTGTGCAGAAATCTGGTGAAATAACTGAGGCTCAACACCCTTGAGTCTTCTCTTTCAACTGACCTCATCCCAGTGAAAGGAAAAGTACAGTACTAAAGCAGCTGTTGAGAGAATGTATTTAATTTTGAGGGATGTTTCCTGACGTTCATACTTCTTGCTGTTTTCTGGCTGCACGATTAGTAAGGAGACCAAGCTCTTAAACGTGCTATACTAACTATATTTATGTACTTTAGGAGGAGCTTGCAGGCAATATCTCGCAGCTTATCCATGCGATTCAGAATACAGAGGCTCGTAAGTACTATTTCCTTATGTAACACTTTTTAAGATATTTTGATCTTTGGCGATTTTGAGGCCACTATCACAGAGTATAGTGTCCATCACTATCACAGTGCCAGAGTAGAGACAGCCATATAGGGGTGCTTCCTTGCTTGCTTGCTTTGCTTTTTGCCCAACTAGTGTGTGTGGTTGCGTTAAGGGAAGCATGCTATGCAGTTTGTTTCCGATTGTTGTAGGGGAAGTGTTGTATCTCCAGTGTGATATAGGTGAGACATTCCAGAGTGGGTACCAAAGCAAACTTGTCCCCTTACTTTGCCATTCTGCACAGACTTACTTCTGTGTATTTCCTACTCCGAACCAAACTTTCTTCATGAGATGTTGGGCACTCAGTGCTCAGTCAGTGGCAAAACCTGCATAAGTAGAAATGAGTGCAGAACAGATATTTTGCTGTAACTTTTATGTATAAAACACAAAATACATACAAAGCTGTCCATGTAATTACACTTGTCTTTAAGAGCAGCTATGTAACTTTTCTTGTATTGTTCTGAAGTTTAATTGACTTGTCCTTGTATGCATCTCCAGCATGTCTTCCCATAGCTCTATCCCAGTCACTAGGCATATCCCTAGGGAAATGCAGCCCTTTCTCACATTGACTTATTGAGATTCATTTAGGTTAGCAAAATAAACTGTTGTGCCAGTCATGCAGATGTTGTTTCTTACTCTCTTACAGGACACCTGTTCATTCAGACATTTTGGCAAACTATGAACCGTGAATGGAATGGGATAGACAATTTGCGTCTTGATAAGTACTATATGGTAATACTAACTCTTGTAGATCTCTTCTGTGAGAAAAGATGTGGTGGTGGCATGCAGCTTTCTCTGCACATGCATTTATGTATTTTGTAAGAGCAGACAACTGACTCTCTTCCTGATGCATTGCAAGAGAACCTTGTTTTAAAGGCTTTCACTCACCACTACAAACCTTAAAGCCATTATGGTCTGTGTCATGCTGCAAGTGCTTTCTTGTTTGCCTTCCTTTATAATATAGTGATGTTTCTCATTGATTTCTGTACATAACATAAATACTGTCTCAGAGGGCACTGCATCAACATCAGTTATTTAGGTCAGACTGTTTAAAGACTTTTTTAATGACGCTGTATAAAGTAGTTGTCACTAGAACCCCAGCTTTCCACCACTGAGTGTCCGCTGTAGTACGTTCAACTATCAGAATTCTTTCTATAGGAAACTATATTAAACAAATAGTAAAATCAGTGAGAGAATAATTTTAAAAGACCTACCTTTGTAAAGAATAAAGTTACATTAATCATCATCTTTGAAAGAAGTTAACTGCAGGCACATTCACTGCTGTTTTTTTTGTTTCTCAATGCTAGCAGAAACCAGGTATTTCAGGAAGTGAAGTGTTTTGAGCCAGTTTCATGTAGCTGTTTCACATATGGCTGTCTCTTAGTGCAAGTTTCAAGTAAATTAAATTATTATTGTTATACGCTCCCCCGTATTGTTGTCACCAGTTTAAGCTGTGGGTTTTTTCAGATTTGGCAGCACTTAATGAAGAAATTAGAGTGAATGGAGCAATAGTATAGTAGAAATGGTCATGGATTTTTCTGGGCTTAGGATATGAAAATAGTTTATTGTCTTTCAAGTTTCACAGCATCCTTCTGTTGCTTGACATGACAGACCAAGTCTGTCAAAATGTTCATACAAGGGAGCTTTCCACCTTGTGCTACAAAGATGTTTACTGAGAAGTCTATTCATATTACAGTAACAGCGACTCCTTTATCTGTTTTTGTGAACATCTTTAACAAATTTTGTACTTTGCAGTTAATGCGTATGATTTTGAGGCAGTCCTTTGAAGTGTTGAAGAGAAATGAGTGGGATGAAAGGTAAGCAGATTTCTGAATGTAGTCGCATCATAAAGTTGCCCAATCTACCTCTATCAAATACATTTTCATTTAATATCTTTTTATTCCATAGATGGCGCTGTCATGAAGTCTTAACACTAAGGCTTACTTGTTCTTCAGATCACTTATGTAGTTTAGAAACAAAGTTAGGTGTTACGCTTCATGAAGTTAAATACAACAATCGATAACTTTTGACGTTCACATAAGCCATTTAGTGTGTGTCTCACACAAAGATTTGTAAAAGTAATTAATGTATGCTTGTGCAAAACCTGAATGTAGAAGCTTGTTGTGTGGTATTCCAAGCAGTCGTGAAATCTGAGGGTTCCAAATTTTTCATGGAGTTTCTTAGATATGACTGATCTAGCAAGGAGAGATATCAGTGGAATGTCACCTGTGGAGGCATTACACAGGGAACCTGCATCCCAGAAAATACAGAAAGGAATTTTTTTGGTTGTGATGTTTTTCTAATTGGCTGTGACTTTTTTTTAGTTTTTATTTTACTGTGTTTAATCATGGTGATTTTTCTTATGATAAGACAGAACTTTTCAATTGTAAACTGGCTTCCTGTTTTTTGTATACATCAGTGGTTTTGTTTGTATTTCTTCCATATTCTATCAAATGGCAAGTAATTGCAGTCCTGCAATAGTCCTTGCCCTGTCTAGAGCTCTTGTGCCACTTCTAAGCTTGTTCTGTGTTTAAACTAATCACAGAATATTAGGAGTTGGAAGGGACCTCGAAAGATCATCCAGTCCAACCCCCCTGCCAGAGCAGGATCACCTAGACCAGGTCACACAGGAACGTGTCCAGGCGGGTTTTGAATGTTTCCAGAGAAGGAGACTCTACAACCTGTGTTATGGAACAGCTCTCTGATGAAGAGAGTCTTTTAATTAAAGAAGTGCTTGATAACTTAGTGTTAAGGTTATCCTTTCTCTCTCTTGCCTTCTGAAATGTGGAATGCGTGTAGGCGTGTTTTTGTGGAAACAGAAATGAATGCAAAGTTAAGCACGCTCCATCCCCTCTGTTCTACCTTAATTTTGTATTGGGTAAATGCCAAGTTGAAGAGATGAAAATGCTCCTTGACAGGAACAGAAAGCGTGCAAGGAGGTTTGATAAAGCTGAAGCCCTTCTTCTCCACAAGCATTCCCATGGCAGAGACATGGTCACCCAAACTGACAAAGTTTCTTACGGCTTTGGCCTCTTTCTCCAGCTGCATTGTAAGGATGGCCAGGAGGCCCTTCACCACCAGAGGAGGCAGTGTGGACTCTAGAAGCTGCCTAGCATGTCTTCCATTTCTCTTTTCTTTTAAAATTTTTCTGAAGAGAGGTGTATTAGAGTAAACCTGAAATAATCTTCATGGGTTTGGAATGCTTAAAATTCTTTTTGGAACTGGAAGTGTTTTGGGCAGAAAAAAGTCCCAAGTGCTGCTTAGATGCAGCAATGCCAGCATGTCTCTGAGCCATGTCACTCCAGCAGTATTTGTTAGTACTCCAGAAGTCAGTAACTGAACAGAGCCATGGTCCTACTTGTACACAGCTCAGTCACTTCTGGTTTGAGGTATTGGGATCATCATTTCTTCTATATGTGGCTTAGCCCTCAATCTGTTTTGTTCTTCAGTGTAATTGTTTTGATCAAAGGGGCAGCGGATAACATCCTTTAATGAAGGCAAAGTCTGCACAGTTAAAATGAGTTTGAGAAGGATCAGTATTAAATTTAATCCTTGGGAGTGCACCAAAATGAAAATCCTCTCACAAAATTGAAGGCTGCGAGGTGTTACCCATCAAGGATGGATGAATGTGACAGTTGTGTCCTTGGAATGCCCTGCTCAAATGGCAGAATCCATCCTCCTACTCATCAGTCATAAACCTGAGTCCAGATAAAGGTGTGAATTTTAAAACACTGTTTTTCACTGTAGCAGACGGCATTGAGTGGATTGTCTGATGCTACAAAATCATCCACACTGTAAGGAGTTCTGATTATGGATGGAGTTTTTTAAAAAATTTGCTTTAAGCTGTGAAAATTGGTCACTGGATTTATTTCTTATGAGTGTTAGATAGCTGTTTTAAAGAACTGGTAAAACTATGGATGACCAAGATTTGTTTTCAAAGCACATAGAACGAGAGCAATTGAATATGAATATTTTGTTCCTTTTTTCATCTTTTTTTTTTTCAGTCTAATTGAACTATTCCTGCAGCTACTCATGAAAGAAGTTATGGACCCAGACAGCAATGCTCCCACTGGGATAAAGCTACATTTCATTGATATCTATCTGGATGAATTGGCAAAAGTTGGTGCAAAGGAGGTTAGAAAAGACGTTGTAATTTTCTTCCTGAATAATGTTAACTGTAGCATGCAGAATTTTAGAATAATATAATTTTTAGATTATGTATGTTATAACATTTTTAAATGTAACACAGCAACATTGAATAAGCGTGAAGAAAGAGACTTATTACAATTTATGATTTTACTTTTATTCATGTCTTGGTGTAGACAGTGAGAATTTAATAGTTTCTCTCAGGTTCCTGAGCACTGGTATGCTGCTCTAAATTGGAGTTGGAAATAGTGGTAGAAAAGCTAGAGCATTCCCATTTGTTTGTTTCAACAGAGAGAACCTTTGGCTTTTGCAAAAACTGACCTAAAGCCTGCCCTTGGCTGATTGTATGACACCTAAATAGAGGAAGAAAGTGAACTTTCAAAGTTGTCTAATATTCACTTATTTTCCGCTTCAAACCTCGTTGGCTGTTCATTGACCAATTTACCCTCTTCATCCAGTTGTTCGTTTTGCTGATGATATTTGTCTTTCTCTGCTGTACATTGCTGTTTCAGTTGCCCCTAATTTCGGTTGATGTTACAGCGATGCATAGTTTTGCAACAACTGAAACCCTGTTACTGAGCTTCTTCCAAAGATTCTTATCTCCTGTTACCCCATGAGGCCGAGCTGCCCACTGCTCCACGCTTCCAGGATTCTGTTCATTGACTTCCTCTTGTTTCTGGCATCTGGCACCTCTCCTTGGAATGGACAAAGCTGCTGGCAGTTTTCCATTTGTAGTCTTTGCAGTCAGTATTCAGAGCAATCCTGCAGGCAGCTTTTGTGGGTCTGGGTTGTGGAGTGTGAAAGAGAAGGTGCCTGTGCAAGAGAAGTACTTGCACTTGGAGCCCAAATAATTTCTGCAGCTCCACAGTCATAATACTGTGGCTAAGCCACTCACAGAAAGCATGGAGATTTAGTCCTCTGGACTATTTGAAATTGCAGCTGATGCTCATAAATTGAATTTAGGGGAAGATTTTTATCTTTAGCAATACTGTAGCTGACAGTGTTTTGATCCAAGCACTCCAGTTAAGAGAAACACAGATCTTATTCATGTCTACTACAGACCTATTTTTGTGGAAGTGCACAAAATTATTTAAGTTCTCTCTACCTCATGTTTCCATATCTAAAATAAGAATCTTTGTTATATATCTGTACTCAGTAGATAAAGGTCTCTAAGCAGTCAACATTTTTGTAATGCTCCCAGTAAATATCTGGAAGTTAACGGTAGCAGTGTTAACAAAAAGTCACTCATGTCAGTTGGAATTAGATAGTATGCTGTAAGATTTTGACTTAACTTCTTAAAGAAGATCCTCCTGCCCTAAATATTCAAGGAATTTGAGTGTACACATACAATGTTTACTGTACTCATTATTTTTTTCTTTCTAATTATACAGCTCACAGCGGACCAGAATCTCAAGTTCGTTGAACCTTTCTGCAAAATTGCTGCCAAATCAAAGGAGTAAGTTTAATGAAAGGATATCTTTTTAAGAATTAAGAAATTCTGTATATAGTACACCACATGGTAATAAATAGATTGAAGAGTTGTCAGAGTATAACTTAAGATTGTAGAGAAAGAAGGGTATGTTACTAACAATATACACAGTCATTTGAAGATAACATGTTTATCAAAGCTATAGGTAATCTTCATGGATTTATAAGAACTATATCAACCTCTGTTGGTTGATTTTGGTTATTTTTTTTAACATGCACAGAACAGCTGAGCTAGTTAGATTCTTTGTTGTTGCAGTGTAATACAGAGCAGCATATAGACACAGTGAAATTTAAGAGGGGAACATTGGCAGGATGCTGTTTGGATTAAAGGATTTCTGTTTAGGAAGTAACAGGTTCACTTTCCTCATCTGGAGAGCTAGATGCTCTTCCACTTTCTTCTGTCTTACCCATTTTCCTGTGTCCCTCAAATTTCCATTTTTTTAATGTGAGAAGGGAAGGTGTGTATGCTTCTGCCTTTTGACTCTCAGCCCTGCTCTCTTCATGCAGTCGATGTGTGCTGCATGCTGTAGCCACTGGTATCTTTGAGCTCATTGTGGATCAGTCCCCCTATGCCATTGAGGACCTGATGAAAGAACTGGGTAACAACAGCGATGAAGAGGATGTATCTGAAGAAGGCAAGCAGGAAAATGGAGAGGTGCTTAAAACCAAAGGTGAGGAAGAAGTTCTAAATGGCCTTGGTAACACTTGCTAGGATTTAAAAATCTGTTTCTTAAAAAAAGGTGGTGTAAGGATAATTGAGTTTTCCTGTCTTCCCTTCAGATGTGCTTAAACAAAGTCACTCCAAAAGAGCATGTCACAGAAATCAGTGGTCTCTGTAAGACCGGGCAATACTAGCTTTCTGCAACAATGCTAGGTGATAACCCAGTCTGGCTCTTGGCTCTTTGATGTCCATGACATTTTTTGAAGAAAATGAGATTTTGGCGTTCTGTGGGAGTATTAAATAAAAAATAAAAAAAGCTGAGCAGGATGGTTTTCAATGCAGATATACTCTGGGAGAGAGGCAATTTTTTAAAAGGTGCTCAGATGATGTCACAGTTGTGTATTGCATAATGGTGACAGAGTAGTTAAATCAGTCCAGGCTCAAAAGATCACAGGAAGAAAAATGCACTTGATCTTCTGTCTAGCAGAGAGTGTGTGCTATCTCAGTTTTCACAAACTAAACATTAATATTCAGTCTCTTTTTTTATAATAGCAGACAGATGTTTGTCAAGAAAATCAGCACAGAGCTCTGAAAAGACAGAGGATGTTAATGAAGATGCCGATGATGGTATCGGGACTGTTCTTCAGGTTTGTGACTTGCTTGCTCTGTTATTGATACTACCCCTCTTGTTTTCTTTTTTCCCATCCCTCTCAAGAGGTACAGAAGTAAAGGGTATTAATTGGATAAAGATGTTACAGAATTTTAATCTTCTGCTTTAATGTAAGGTGGTATTTATGTAACGTACTCTGTGAGAAGTTTGTAAGAAAATAAATCCATGTCTAAATTCTGAAGTCATCTTTCCTTTCTCCCATACCTTCTTTTTTCTGTTCCTCACTTCCTGTTTCAGGAGTTCAAAAATGTATGGTAAAAGCCAAGTCACTGTGGTCGGTGAAGCAATCAGCATAAGTTTCATTGTCAATAAGAGTAAAAGTAATGGATTATGTGATACATAGGAGAGAGGGTTGCATTTTGGGTTCCTTTAGACCCACTTCCAATGCAGTATAGTGTTTTTGACAGATCCACCCATCAGACCCACATGTGGGTAGATACACTTCATGCATCTGGCTTTCAAACAAGAACTAGGACATGACACACTTCAAATCTGCTATTTAGCTAAGTATCTGTGGGAGTTTTGAAGTTGGTTGGTTTCTCTCTTGAGTAAGAATTAAGGTTAGGAATGTTTGAGAAAGCAACACTGAGTTCAACTGTTCTATTAATGAAGCAACCATCTGTAAAAGTGAGTATACATGCGGGAAGGGGGTGTAAATTTCAACAGAGAACAAATACTTTGGGTTTAAAGGAAGTGGCTGTTTAAAGGATGTGTGCTACTTGAAGTGTTGATAACATGAATCTCATTGAGTTATCTTGCACGAATAAGCTAACTAAGAGAAGCTGTATCATACTTTCCTCCTACAGTTTGATTATAAGGCTGTAGCTGACAAACTCTTTGAATTGGCGAGCAAGAAAAATACACCTTCCCTTAACAGAAAGCGTCTGTACAAGCTGGTCAAAAAGTGAGTTCTGTTGAAATACACTTTGCATGTGCCATCTTGTCCTAAACAACTTTTTCTTCGCTTTCTCTCCGCTCTCGCTTGTCCTGGTGACAATGTCATGAGAGCAGGCTTGTCTCACAGCCCTGGATAACGTGCATAAGGTGCCCCAAGCCTGTGCTACTGTTCCTCCTTAGTACCAGACAACTGCAACTAGCTGAGGTCTATCTGCACTGGGTAGATTTGTACTGCAGGATGTGACATTACAACAGATAGTGTGTGATGCAAGTTACAGATATGGGAGGAGTGTTACACTGATGTTTTCTCAATGCTTTCAGTGATTTGGTTTGGGTTTCTGGATTTCTGAGGCAGATCTCTTCTGGAATGAGCTCTTTGTAACTTCCTGTGCAAACTATGTTGTTCCTATTTTGACAAAACCATAAGTGACGCTATGCTGCCAGTGTTATCATTGGTACTAAGCCAGTAATAATGTTCTGTTTTTCCTTTTCTCCCTTCCTCCTCACCTCCAGGTTCCAGGACTTAGCAGAAGGTAAGGACTGAGCAGCACACAGAGACAGTAGTTTCCTTTTATTAAAGGATGTATAATGTTTCTCTGCAATGTGTATCGCACTTTTATTTTTTTTTTAATTTATATTTCAAGAATACCGTTTTGGGTTTCTTTTTTTTTTTTTTTTGAAATATCATTAAAACACATTGCATGTTTTTGGTGAGATGACCAAACCCCCTTCACAATTTGAGCAACTTAAATGATAAATGATTATTTTTACTTAAATAGGAATCACTCATATGATTTTATTTCAGGTTAAGTGGGGAACAAGGAGTTGGCTTTCTTTCTGTGGGAGTTATGCTGTATATGAACAGTACAACTGTTTGTAAAAATAGAACTATTAGTCTTCAGATACCTTTTCCTTCTTCCTCAACAGGAATCTTCCCCCAAGATTTTCCTGAAGATGTTTCTACAGATGAAGATGATGATGAATTCAGCAGGGGAAGACGAAAGAAAAAAGCTGTCAAGCCTTGGGAGAAAAACAAGTTGGAAAAAGCAAAAAGTAAGGCAAGATCAACCTTTGGAAGAGAGACAGTCTGCAGTCCCTTGTGTCATTTGCAAAGTATCAGATACAAGCTGTTCTGGAGAAGGCAAACCTGTTGTTCAGACTGTGCTGATTTATCTCATGTTGCAATGAAGGTTAAATGCAAAATTAAAGTCTCTTTGGAAGTGGTGGGAATATTTTTACCCACTTTGAGGCAAGCATCACCTCAAAAATTTCAATCAAAAGCATAACTGGAAGCAGTTGTTTGCATTGCTCCATTGAGGAGTTCCATATATTGTAGGAAAACAGAAACATGTCAGAATAGAATGGCTGTTAGAATATAGGAATTTGGGAGTGTTTCTGGAAAGACGAAGAGAGTTACTGAGAATTGAGTGTAAGTATCGCTAGAATCACAGCTTATATTGACACAGCACAAGCCCAGTCATGCCCAAAAGTATCTCAGCAAACTGCTGAAGCCCAAAGTTGCCCTTCTGATAGGCTTAACAGGTGGGTAATAACTTTTTCTAGCAATATTGCTATACAAAATAGGGTTACCACAGGGAATGGCTTAAATGTTAGCTGTGACAAGGCAAGATCAGCAAAATATTAATTAGGCCAGGCGTCAGAGGAATGCAATGTCCTGACCAGCTATAACAGTAGAACTGTTATGCTGGCTGATAGCAGGAAAATTGCACATCTATTTTGAAAGAAAATAAAAAGAAAAAACATAGAATAGTATTCAGTTGTTGTAAGTACCTTTGCGTTTCACATCTGTGTTATATGGCATTCTTTTTGGGGTGGATTTAGAGGATGAACAAGATATGTCAAGTGCAAAGGAGGCATCAGTTCCCCAGAAGAAGAGGAAAAAAAGGAAAAAGAGGGACAGCCCAAGTGCGGATTCTGGAACAGCTGATGGAAATTGTGAGGAGGGAACAGCTGAGACATCTGGATCCAATGTTTCTAGTGAGGGAAGGGCGCCAGAAAATAACAAGGAAAGGAAGAAAAAGAAATTGCTAGTAAATGAGGCAAATGAGACCACAAATGCAGCAACTGACACCAGAGAAAATCACAGTATCTCTGTGCAGAACGGTCCGACTAATGCAGAACAGAGTAAAAAGAGTCAGTTGAAGAAAACGAACCTGAAAATGCAAAATCTTCCTGTAAAACCAGCATGTCAGAATGGACCAGCTAATGCCTGTGAGGCAGAGGATGTCAGCCCATCTGTCACACCGTTAGCTCCTAAGGTCATGAAAAAGAAACAGAAAGCAGGGGCCGTCTTGCTGAATGGGGATACCTTTTTGCAGCAAACTGACATGAAATCCAACAAGGAGGGCTTGCCAGGGACCCTGTCGGGACATGCAGACTCTGACTCCACACCCTCCAGGAGGGTCAAATTGAAGACAAAGACAAAGCTACTTGGTTTGGAAGGGATGAAAGTCTCCAGCCAGAAAGCAGCAACCTTGAAGAAGAAGAGAAAAGTAAAAGAGGTGCTAAACTCTGTCGAAGCCAATGGAGTTCTGGAAACTGCATGCAAGAAAAGCAGGAAAGGGGTACGTACACCTCATTCTCTTCTCTGCCTTCTTCATTAACTGCCAGGCTCGTTTTTAAATCCGGCTGTAGATTTCTGAGTGGGGGGCTTCATGGGCAGGCTGCATGCTCATGTCATCGTGCATTACCACCAAAAAGAATTCAGTTCCTCAGAAATCCACACCTGCTACCACGGTCTTGCACCTTCTTGTGCAATGATACTAAAGCCTGTGCCAGCTACTCATCTGAAATAACGCATCTAGCTGAAACTTGGGTTGTTAGGATATGGGGTTGTCTTTTTTTTTCTTTTTGTTTTTTTTTTTTTGTCTGAGTTAATTATTGTTTTGCACTATGTTTCTGGGTGAGCTTACAGCATGCTCACAAAGGGCATATTTTGGCAAAAGGATGAGAATAGGAAGATCGAACATCCCTTTTCCAGCAGCAGCGGCAGCTTAGATTAATATAAGCTCCTTATGAAGGTCCCCACGGCAATTTCAACAGTGGCTTCTTTTGCTAGCTCACTTCTCCATCTTAAACAAATTGTTAGTGCTGTATGGGGAAAGTCTTTAACGAAAGAACAAACAATATGACGCTGTGACCTTCAATGTCATCACTGGCTGTATGATCACATTTATGAATGGTCCAGTTTCCTATAAAGAGAGTACTGTCGATTTTTTGCCAGGAAGGTCTGATTTTAGTCTTCTTAAAAAATTTATGTCTTGCAGTTTGAGAACAAGCTATGTTTTTACCCCCCCCTCTACCCCCACACCCATTTTCTTCTTGGCAGTAAGTAGCATATAGTTGATTTTGCTCAGCACTTGGGGATTCAGGAAGCATTTTGCACTGCATATTTTTGGTAATGTGACTGCAAGAGAATGCACAGGTTCTTGGTGGAAAGAAACTCCATAAAGCATAAATGAGATTCAGAATACAGAAGAATTTCATCTTCCTCTGAGTAAAAAGTGCATGTTACTAGCCTATCAGCTCACCTCTGTTTGACTTCAGTTTAAAACTGTATGATTAGTTAAGTAGTGCAGCCTCGTATATGGACTTCTTATAACCACTCAGTCTGACAAGGGAGAAAGCGTACATTTTGAAACATTGCTTAAATAGTATTAAAATAGCTTTGACATTTTCTGGTTTTTGATGTTCAAGTTCTGAGAGGAAGGATCCAGAGCATTTTTCTCTCCACAGTGTACGAACTGCGTTTTTCTCACTGCAGGGCTCTGGAAGTAGGAACCGTGCATACCTCATCCTTCTCTATAAAAGCTTAGTTTCTAAGAAAATATGATTACTCTACTCCCACCTCTGTTTGTAAAATTTGCAGCTGCTGAGCCACGATAGATTCAAGATTAAGTTCCTGCAGGCTTCATGGAGATTAGTTGTTGGCACAAATTAGTGCAGCCAGTGAGGAAGAGGCAGCAGCATGACCGTAGCACTTTTCTGTAGGCTGGCTGGCCAGTCAGTGCACAGGCTAGTGGACCACTCTTCCCATGCGTAATTCCAAAGAAACTACAGCATTTGCTGTTTCTTGCCCCGTCCAGGTAGCTGCGTGTATATGTGTGTGTTGAGAGGGAGCAGGGGGACAGAGACAAAGAGAGAAATTTGTGAGCTGAGTCAGGAGAATGAGGGTATTGGTATAACAAAGAAGAGGGCAAGGTAAAGCTAAAATGCACAAATGTGGAGGAAATTAGGCTTTGCTAATTTTGTTTTCGTTGCCTGAGAAATAATACGTCGTTTTATTTCCTGGTTTTAGTTAAAGTAATACTGGTCTTGTGCCCAGAAATCCTGAGGGTCAGCGTGTTTTGATTCTTGATTTCAAAGACAGCCCACACCTCCAAAGAATGAGCTTCAAATATGGAGAGGGAGGAGAAGGGAAAGAAGGGGAAAAACTAGACTAGTTCAGCAGTATTTCACAGTTGTCTCCAGCATTTGGAAAGCTGAAAGACTTACACTTTTTCACTTGATTTAAAACGGAAGTGATTTTCAAATCAAAAGAGGCCATATCCTCTGGACATTCTCCACAGCACAGCTGCGAGCTGCTTTTGGAATTTCACGTATCTAGATTGATGTGATGCATAGCTGAACTTCCCCCCACAGTAGTCCACAGATATCTGGGGCCCATCGACCACAGTTTGGACAGCTCTGGAGCGGTGCACTTCATTAGTGGCACTGGCAGGACAGGCCTTAAGAATTGCCTTGTGCTGGAGAGAGAGACCGCTTTAAATGGCAATGCTTGGTATGAATTTGTGGCAGCAAACTAGTAGTAATACACAGCAGCTGGATTGCTGAGAGTACAGGCAGACTTTATATGCCATTTTTTTTTTCGCCAAAGTCTCCATGTTAGCCTAAAGCTGAGTTTGTTCATTAGATGTATATCTTATGTATCCAGGGGTAACACAGAAGAGAGGTTTTTTTTAAGGGCAAGGAAAAAAGTACCATAACTTCTGTGGAGAAGAGCTGGGTCAATTGTAAGGCAGCCTCACACACATGAAGAAAACAAGTATGTTTGCACTCTGACAGGCCAGGCAAATGTATTATAAATTTCTTGCCTTAAGCTTCTGTTTTCAGTCATGCTAACAGAAAAATTAACTCCTGAGAGTTAACCATGATGGTTAGCATATGTGAGTACCAATTAACTCACTCTCAGCTAGAGCAATTTTTACAGAAGCTACATATGGTAAGCTCTGAATGCTGATCACTGTATTAGGTGTGTGTAACTACAGTACTGTTGTACTGAAAGCATTTTTTCATTTCCCTCCTTTACAGGAAAGCAGTGCTGCTCTATCATCAAAGAAAAAGAAAACAAAACCAGGAAGTGATTTCGTAAAATTTGAAAAATCAACTTTACCAAAGGCAGTATTCTTCAGAAAAGCCAGAAGCGCCATCTCTTCGCCCAGAGCATCCATGCAGGTAACGTGACCTCACGGATGGCAGCTGACTCTGGGCACAGGTCTGTTCCCAAGCCACCTGCCCCAGCAAAGGGCATGACCCCACTCATGCTGTCTTTTCCACTCTGAATAAGTCTCCTAACATGGGCAGATAAAACTGGAAATGCTGTTGCATTTCTTTGTAGACAGAGTCACGCATGGCTCCAGAGTTTCAGAAAATGAGCTGTAGGCATTTTTAAAGTCTCTTTTTCCTTCCACCGTGCTTTCAAAAATACCTTCTTGTTGAAAAGACACCATTCTGAACCTGCTCATTTTGAAAAAAAGCAAAAGCATAAATTGACTTTCTTGACCTTGAAGTTGATTGAGCCTCCATTTCTTCCCATTTGTGGAGGCTGGCAACAATGCAGAGCTTCCAAAGACTGCCCTCTTTTCTAAACTTTTTTAACATATAATAACTTTTCAAGCCCTCTTTGCACTTTGAGGCTCGAGTGCAGTCGGGCTGGTGTATTTAATACACAAATACCTTCATGTTTGTTGTTGAATTATGTAATGATGTTAAGGAGAGTTTTTGATTTCTCTACAAAGGGACTATGTTTGTTTTTGGCTAGAAAAACAGTGCTGTCTTAGCAGGGGTCAGTGCTAGGGGATTGGGGGAGTTCTAAATCAAATCAAGGAAGTAGAATTCTTTGCATCAGTTTTGATGGGATGCAGGTAAAAGAACTCATAGCATTGCCTCAGAAATCTTAATTTATTTCCTGTCTTTATTTTGCTTTATAGCTGAACAAGCTGCAGTCATCCAGCTCCAAAAAAGTCACGTTTGGCTTGAACAAAAATACGACTGCTGGTGAGTCTAATATATCTCTGTGTCTCCACAGTTTCTCTTGTGGCAATGGAAGGGGGAAGCTATATGCGCTCATACACACCTATACTCTTCTCCTTTCCGGATGATTCTGATCCTTTTTTATCTCAATATTTTTTATACAGTTTATAAACCATCCTCAAGTTCCTGTCCAGAGTAGATGGTGAAGTTTAGGACATGCAGCCCAACAGCTAGCTAGACTTGTGCTATTTCAGGGTGCTGCAGTACTGACTTGCAGAAGAAGCCTTACGGATAGAAAACAGTGCAGCAGAGTGATAGACTCACCTTCCTGAGCTGCCTGTTCTGCAGAGCGCCTCTTGGGAAAACATGTGCACTTCACAGTCTTCATTGCTCACTTCTGTTTCCCTGGGCAAAGGTGCCAATACGCTGATGAGCTCAGGCTATATGAGAGCAAAATTTCCGTTTTATCTTGGCTGCCTGTGGTTTATTAATGATAATGAGTAGATAAATGTCACTTCCCTTCTGGATCCCACATGTAAGCAGACAGCATTTTCCCTGTTAATAAATTTCTTGCTCCATAGCATAAAAGTTTTATTACAAGTATTCATTTAGCTATTTTTTAAACTCTCTGAGGTGTACTGTAGTCCAAGTTCAAATGGAGAACAGTAAGTTTAGATATATGTCTTTATCTTAATAACACAGCTGCACAAAGAGGGAAAAAAAATGCCTACCTGCCGGCAGAAGGAATAACCAAGAGCAGCTCCAGAGCAGAGCTGTTTAGCAGACAGAGTAGGGACACTTTTTACCCATCATCATCTTTTAAACAACAGTGGGGTGTTCTTCAGGATAGCTGGAACACTTGTTTCTGAGGAGCAGGCCCACTGTCTCCAGTGGTCTGTGAAACCATGGGAATGGTCGCAGCCTCTCTGTAGATTGCAACAGACCCAGTTATTGAAGGCACCCTGCTAAGAGGTGTGCTTCTCCACCATCTCTCCATTTTTTTCCACAAAGTCTTAGGGTTCTGACCCTTACTGATGGACTTAAGGATCTAAGGCAGACTTCCAGAGTTGGGCAGTTCCACAACTGATTGACAGGCACAGGTATTCCAGGGGTTGTATTTCTTTTAACTTGTTTGCTTGTTTTTCAACAGAGTTTAAAAAAACTGACAAAAGTATCTTAGTGAGCCCAGAAGGACCCTCCCGCGTGGCTTTCAATCCTGAACAGAAGCCTCGTCATGGGGTGCTGAAGTCACCCACAGGTACCCCAGCAGGACAACCTCAAATGAAGAAAACATTTACTGTATCAGTTAAGAAGAGACCGACTGCTATGGACTTCTTTTAAACCAACAGATGTGGCCTACTTTTGTACAGGACATTTTGCTAACCTAGAATGTTCTCTGGAGGTATTTTGAGCTTCTTTATTTTTTTAAGTTAATACAAATTGTATATACAAAATTCTCATTGTGACCTGGGTCATCGCTATTTTGACACCACTTCAGCTGTATCTTGAAATACTTGTTTTGTCTATTTACAGAAAAGAAACAAAATCCAATCTCTGCTCAGGTTTGGTCTGCAAAACGTATGGTCTCTGCCCACATCATTCTCAAGAGACCTTTTCATTTGATTAAGGAATGTTCAGGGTTTGATTGTTGTGGTGATTTTTTTTTGGAGCCAGTTTAAGAAAACTTGCACTTCATGCTGTTGAACTGTCCTTCATTGGACAGGGCTTAAAATGGAAAAAAAACTCTGTAGATTTTAAACCTACTCGTTGCTCATGTATTTTAAACTTTTACCCGATTGTTTTTCACATGTCACCCCTAGCATCCTGTTAATTCTTCTGGAAATAATGATTACCTCACGTCTCTGTTTAATAGCGGCTGGACTTGGGTAGCTTTACAGATAGTAAGCAAGCTTCCCCTGGGATAAGAAATGCCTAGCTGCTCAAGTGGTCTCTGTTGCAAATAAACCTTCGCAGCTGGTTGCCTGCTGAGTTGGGAACAGTCACCACTTTATTTTCAGTAACACAAGTGCCAAAGCTGACTTACACTTGTCGTATTGTAAGCTGGCTTCTTCTCTTTACTGTAACTGAATTAATGCTCTCACATGGGAGAAATCTTTGATGTTTGCAGGTCTTCCCTCCACCCCCACTGCTGTCTTTCCTGGAGGTCTGACAAGACTCCTCGTTTTCTACTTCAGCAGCTGGTGCCACTGCGTTTTACCAGGACTCAGATCTCACTCAGTGAATGAACCTCTGATTGTACTGAAGCAAGCTGGATCGGTGTAGTGCATCTGTGGTTAGGACACACATCTCTCAAAGCGTTGGTGCCTCTTGGTACAGGGTACAACTTCACAGCCCAGGCAGCTTGGTTTTGGTTTTGATGTAGAACCAGAAGAATTCTTTCTGCAGCAGTTTCTTTGCGTTAAGTTTTTTTGTGTTCAGGTATTTTGTTACTACTGTGCATGTTTTGGTTTTTTCTTTGGTAAAGAATGAGGTGTATTTCTATGAGAGACCATTAATGTATTCTGAAGGGGAACTGTGAGGAAGGGAAGAGCAAATGAAAATAAAACCTTTTTTGATATGGTTGGAAGATTTGAAATCTTTCTTTGGAAGTTTTGCTTATGCGAATGACACAAAGGCTTCACAGCAGATCTCTACATTGGAGCTCAGCTTCAGAGCACAGCCTGATGTCACATCAAGGCTATTCATGAAGCTTCCCACCAGTTACCTCTGTGATCCAACAAGAGAGAGGGTAGGCCTGCTTCATTACTATGTATTATAATAACTGGTAAACAGTTAACTACTTCAGCCAGCAAAATTTAAATTTTGTGTCATATTTGCATACTTCAGTACTACTTTTTACCTTTCTTTGGTGCTGACTGTCCTCTGCCAGCTTACTCCCCATAAGCAACTGGATTGAAACTGCTCTTTCATAGCTTATCTAGAATTTCTTCAAAACACTTGTGTACTCGTAGATTGCTAGTTGGTCTCAGTTGCTCATTTCTAATCCGTGCCAGTTCTTGTGCTCAGTTTATGACAGTCCATGGTTTGTGGTGCTGCTATGGAAGTGTCAGAGTCATTTTGCTCTTGTCTTTTCTCATTTAAAGGGAAGGACTGAATTTAATTTTGATTTTATTGTAGTTTGTATTGCTTTGACTGATCAGTGAAGAACTCTGGAGAATACATCTGATAAAATTAATAATACTTGCTGTTTGAGCAATTATTGTTCATTGATTTCTTTTTTTTTTTTTAATCTCATTGTATATTAGCATAATGCATTTTTGACAAGATGATGGTAAGTAGGATTTAACAAAGACTGTTCAATATGTTGTACTGTTTATCTTGTACTGTGGGTGAGAAGTCTCTTGTGGAATATGCATAAAAGCATTTGTATGTGCATGGTTGTTAATGCCTTAGGTTGAAGATGCCATATTCCTCCAAGGATATAGATGCAAACAATCAGTAGGTGGATCTGATGTGCACAGAAAAACCCAGGATCAGGACGCATTGGGGTTTGGTTTTATTCGGGTTTGTTTTTAATGCATATAATCTGTTACAGCAATGTATTTAAGTGATTGTCTAGATCTTTTTCTATTGGTTGTAGATCCATTGAACCTGTTGCTTGTCCAAATATTTTGTTGCCCACAGTGCTAAATGGAGAGGGCAGAAGTGGCAGTCGGTTTTTTATCTAAAATTTTAGCTTGTTGGCATTCATGCATAATCCATCTGTGCCATGAAACTGGTGGGATGTTTTGTAAATATATGCATGTGCTGTATATTGTCTTCAGTGGTGTCTGGAATTCCATTAAGGACAGCTTCACAAACAAACAACAAGCACTGTCAATGCAGTTTTATCAGCATTGTTGGGCTAAATTGAATGCATTACCTAAAATATTTGGATAGTGACAATTCTAATAAATGTTGAAGACAAAAAAAAATAGAGAAATAAATGTAATATCTGGGATATCCACTGCACAGACACAATGGTACTGTAAGGAGGGATGTATTGATAGGACAAGAGAAAAGAAAAACTGATCTGACCTGTTAAATGTCACTTCATAGGTATTTTCGTAGTGTTATTCCAGTTCTGCAGATGCCAGTCATGCTCTGGGTCAAAGTAAGTTAGTGCATTATACCTTTTAAAGGACAGTATTTTGTAATTATTGTCTCTACATTTTTCATTTTTCTTATGAATCTGATCAACTTTGTACTTCTCAAGCTCTGATAATAGTTTATTGTTCTTTATTGCTTCAAGAAAACTCAAAAGCACAAAGAGTTCTGCAAGGCAAGAAGTTGAAATTACATTTCAGTTATTGGATATGCAAGATCTTTTATAGTCTATCAAACCTATGTGACTTGGAAAGCATCAGATGCCCTTTCTGTCATTTATTTCCTGTGCTTAGACTTAATTACAGGCAGGAAAAAAAATATATCCATGTGTCATTTTCTGTACTTCTGCAACAACATTGTTAATACAACTACAGTGTCTAAGCATTCTATCACTTAGTCTAATCCAATAAACCGTCTTTTATTGTGGCCATTGTATTTTCAGTAAATTTGTAAATCTGAGGGGTGGGAGATGGGAGGGTAGCATCCAGGGAGACACTTGAAAGTACAAAGGAAGTTGTTCTTGCATGTGCGCTCTCTCAGTTTATTTTATTTTATTTTATTTTTATTGTATAGAGAACTAAAACCGATGAACACTCAGATATATCAAAGTGAGTAGGGTTGTGATACCTGTTCTTACACGTTGAGCTTCTGGCCATTGTAATTGGGCTGTAGAGTAGATACCAGCAACTGAATGATTGCTCAGGAGAAACAAGCAGAACACACACAGTCATTCCTTGAAAATTAAAATTGGAAATTGAAGTGATAACGTGGCAAGAGGTGTACTTCAACAGTATAATTATGCAGATGCCAAAGTAGCTAAGGACGTGGACACTCTGACAGCTGTTTGCTCATTTGTTAGCAGTAGCACGCCATGTGGAGTTATGTACGTACAGGAATCCCGCACAGAGCATTGTGTCTCCATCTCAGGTACTGACAGGGTCTGCAGCTGTGCAGGATCAGTAATAAAAAAATTTTTAAAAGGAAACATGTTTTATTGGCAGGCACAAAATTTTCAGAAATGTAAAAAGTTTCATTCAGACAAAGAAAAACGACCTATCCACAGCAGTGACACCAGTAAAATTAAAACATAAATCCTCAGGTAAAATGAGAACATTTCCTTCAGAACAAAATCTTGTAGAATTGACATTCTTGTTACATGTTTAAAAAAATTTCATACATCTTTATGGGCACCTGGGTTTCTAGATGGTAATAAGTGTTGAAGACCATAGCGTTAGCATGCAGCTGTAAATTAAGTGCTGCATGTGCCATGGTGACAGGAGGGAAATCCTTGTGTAGTTTAGCCGTGGAGCCAAGATACGACTGACTTACTGCGGTACCTTATGCCAACTTCATGCTGTGTAGGATCTTGGCCACTCCAGGGGAGTGCTGTGCAGCAGAACTTGTAGTGCCTGCCCTGAACGCACTCCAAGGGGTTGCTGTAAGATTCAGTGGCCCTCATGGGAGGTTGAATGGGATCCCTGCAAGCAGGTTGGACCAGGATTGGCATTTCAGTGATCGGTACTGCCTGGCATTTCCAAGAAAGCAGAAAACATCTGTCTGCACAACAGTCTGCAAGGTAATACAAGCGTATTTTATATTGTATTCCCACTATGCAAATCAAGGAGAAACATAGTGCCTCTTTGAAGATTGATACAAGCTGTTGCAGAACTAAAAGCTGATCAGTAGAAACAACCCTTCCTGAGGAAAAAACTCCTTTAAAAAAAAAAAAGTGTACGGATTTTGTTAGCTTAGTATAACACTGCGACAGTTGTCGTACAATAGTTTGGATGGATACAATTATTGACGTAAGTCTGTGATCTCTGAAATAACTTAAGCATATTTTATCAGTCTGCTGCAGTCAGGCATCTGTAATGGCTGCATCCCAGATTATATAAATTCTAACTCAGATAAGAGACATTGAAAGAATTTGCTTTTCCCCTGGAATTACAGTGAGTGTGTATTCTCTATTGTAGGACCCAAACTCAAGCATTTTTTAAGTGTAAAAGCACAGACCAGTTTGAGGAGGGAAAAAAATTTCATCTGCAAAAACATTGCAACATGTTGCAAATAATACAGTTAATTACTGTAAATAAAATCCAAGAGGTGGTTCAAGTACTTTTAACAACATTTTGCACAGTGATTTCCTTAATATAGCCACTTCATTGGCATATCTCTTTATTAGACAAGGAAGAGGAAAATCCTTCAATTTCTTAGGAAGCCTTTTGAAAGAGGGT